TTAGAGCAGTTTTTTTGTCCTCTGGAGCGATGGATATTTAGTGGAATGCTTTCGTAAGATCCAGTGTTGTTAATGTGATACATCCGTTCAGTCGGTGCGTGAAGTCGAAGTAAATGTGGAGAATGGGATGACGATCTGAAACTGTAACTTTGTTCAACTGGCAGTAGTTGCCTTCAGCTACTATCCTTCTTGTGCACAATATGTAATGAACTAGCCTACTCGCTTGAAGATTGCTTACAATTTCCTTCTACTAAAAGTTGCTCGAATTCCTTCCACGCTGCATTGGCGAAAGACGACGGGCTCGTTCTGCTATCGCTCGGCCGTTAGTGATGTTGCACCGTATGCTTTGGCTCTTGGGCTTTGGCTGGTCTTCGTCACATGCAAAATGGTTTTATACGACTATAATGACTTACGAGAAAATGATGGTGTGCGACAGGTGCTGATGCTTCCTGGCGTGCAAAGCTTAATCGTGCTATCGATGAGTCGTCGGTTCCGCAAGTTGTAATGCTTAAGAAAGTCCGCGCTTACAAGTAGCTGCTGTACATCCGCAACAAGGAATTGCCATTATCATTCTTCGGAATGACAAATCTAACCTAAGAGTTTTTTCTCCGTATATCTGCGTACCGTTAATGACGAAAATTTTGAGATTAACTGGCGCGCTGCACTTAACTAGGAACTTGGGTATCACAGAGACGTCGGCGCCTATATCGGGAATTTTGCTCCTGAATTACGATCCAGGATAGCGAAACGATTTTGTGACGGCGCAACACTCGCGGCTATCTCAATCCACGGGAGCCGATCTAGTTTCCCTTCTCTGACGGCTCGCATCTACGAGCACGGTTTCTTGCACTTCTTCGCGTCGCGGAACGCGACCGAACCCACTATGATAATAGCACGGACCATTCTCTTCTTTCCGACCCGGTGTATCTGATCGATTTTTACGCCTACCATATCGTCCTCGACTCGCCGAACATCCTTGGCGAGAGCGATATCCGCGATCCAATTGTTTTGACAACGCATCGACCTATAAACGCCTGAATTGCTTTCTGCATATCTGATACTAACTTATCGCCTTGACAGCCGATTGTGTTCCTGGCGTGTCAACTGCCATAATCGTTG